AGGAATCCATATGAGATTGCACGTATACGGGTAGATGTCGTAAAATTTTCGCTTCATCGGATTTTCCTTTTTTATTTATTCAAGCTGATACACGCTAACGCCGTGTAGGTTATTTATCTACAGTATATGTATACATGTACAAATCTATATATAAGATGAGAGTGAAATTAACTTGTTGCAGTCAGTCAGTCAATGGGCTTTGAGTATCAATTCGAGCAGCTCCCGAGTGATACCGATAAACATGAGACTCGCTACAACGGTGTGTCTTTTAGTTGCCTTTTGTACTGTAAGTTATTTCAAGAATAATCTAATCTCTCTAAAATGACAAATACAATACTTTTGATATTTTTCGAAGAATGTTTGTTCAAAGTTTCAAGATTTAATTTAAAAAATCATGAATCATTGAATTAAAAGAATTGGTCTTTTCAGGAACGTCTAAAATTCATTTTGCCAAGTTCTACATAACACTCTTATCAACAAAATTTAGCTGTGAATTCAAACAAAGATTATACAATATGAATTTCTTGAAAATACTCAGGTTCATTAAAGAAAAAAAAAACTTTTTTTTAGGTCAATGCTAATCCTTTGGATTCACTTAGGACTGGTGTGCAAAGATCGAGAAAACAAGTGCAGGATATTATAGAACAGCTCGAGCGTCTTCAAAGTAACATCGCGCATGACACAATTTTCAAAATAAAAAATATTTGGATAGGACAAAGGCAAAGACTCAACGATTACAGCAATCCGATAATTGATGCGATACGTGTAAGTAATAAATCCGCGTATGATAATCGAGGTACAATATAATTAATATTGTTTATGAAATGTGTCGAGTAAGTTTTCAAATACTGCAGCTTTTTCGAATTTGTTTTAATTAGTTTTCATTCAAGTCTTCAATATTTATTTCAACAACACGATATATGTATGTATAATAAACAATAGTGTGTGTGTGTGTGTGTGTGTGTGCCACGTTTAATATAATATAACACAACACAATTAACGTTATATACGTCTTATGGAACAATACAACTACATAGTGCGCTACTATCTTAACTTTTAATTTATTCATTGCACATTATTGGTTGGTATATTTAATTGTTAGAAAGAAGTGGAAGCCGCGAAGGCAGAGGGCAAGAATGCGCAGCCATGCTACGATACCGCTTCTAATAGTTTGAAAAACATTTGGGACTTAGCGTCAAGTGATGCTCAGCGACAATGCGTCGACACTGCTGAGAGCTCCATCAAGAGCGAACTTGATTTTATCAACAACCTTATCACGGTAGATTTTTACGATAATTATCGCATACTTGGCTCTTCGCTGAGTGTTAATTAAAAAAAGGCATACGACAAGAGTTCTATTTATGTCACTTTTCTCACAGACCGGACGTACGCTGATAATAGAATTGGACAGCATCTTCCCAAACTGCTTCAGTAATGACATTTTCCAAATGCAGAGATGCGTCGCCCTCAAGCTGTCGACAGCCAATATCGCCGTGAGAGACTTGCAGAACAAAGCAAATTCCGCCAAACTCACCGCCGAGTCAGCGTCCAATAATATCTTTTTGCAGGGAAATAATTGCCTGTATAATGTTTATTCGACCGCGATCTCGCAGATCACGGAGGTCAGATTGGCCGCTACCAAATGCCTTAAGGCTTTGTAAACCCAGTGTTGAGTCGATTGACCGTATTGACCGCGTGACTATGACTCTTTTAAAAAAATTGCTTTCGAGAGGAATCGTTAATATCGTTAATATCGTTATGCCGGTTATGCCGATTATGCCCGAGATACCGCTGGTTAAAAAAAGACAGTTTCACGATTACTTTCATCTTATCTACTCGTTTATCGAATATCTGGCTAACAATAAGTTAAACACGTGGTTCATCAATATTCATAAAAATTCGTAAATTCATGAGATCGGTGCGAGACAAACGAACTTATAAAAGTCGTCGTTCCTAATTTTAGTCGTCTACTTATTAAAATAATTTAAAATAATTTTGGCATGCGAATCTTGCAAAATCCTGATGGAAATGTTTCGCAATCAATTGTGACGGTTGATTTGTAACGTATGATACAGCGATATACCTATTATAAGCTACGATATGTTCGATTTGATATCGAACTCGTATCGATTTCTGTTTCGCGAATATTGATCACAATCAACAAGCGGTTTTAATTATTGGATATTCTATTAAGATATTGCATAAGTATATCAGACGAAATAAATCTAATCTGATTGACATTGACAATGACAATGACATTTTCAAGTGGAACGAATGAAATAGTTTAACGAGAGATAAGTTTATCTCTCTTTCTCTCAGATATCATACATGTACGATGCATATAAATATAGCATCTAGTTTACATTCAATAAAGTATTTATGAGGATCTCTTAAAGAGATTTACGATTATATTTTTCTTCTTGATATCAATATAGACATCTTAACTGTACATATGTATATGTATACATATATTTAAGATAAGATTTTGATTGTTCGATCGCATTGCGATTGCATTCAATTAAAGTGGTTACGATGATTTTGCGTGTAATTCTATTCAGCTATCAGATGTAAATGTATTCAACATTTAATTTATTTCCAAGATTTTTATATAGGTATAATTAATATATTAGTTATTACTAAGGTTTCACGAAAGATATACGAAACACTGCGCAGTCCGTGACTTGATTTTACGTCATGCTTTTTTCGTCGCCAATTCCATTTTCGCTCCATTTTAAGAAACATTCGCAATTTATTTTTGAATAAATTATATCTGATATATCTTAAATAAGAAATTACTTTCAGTTGTATTTGTATCATATCTATACATATACATTTTGATTAAGGGGCTTCCCTAGTGTGACAGGGCCCTAAAATGAATGATTTTTAAAAGGAAAACGACAAAGCCACGTGATAAACAACTTTTCCCACATATTTTACTATATTTTAAGAGTGCATACAAATTTTTTCAAAATTTTATATCTGTTATTAAAATCCGTGCCAGCCATTTTTTTGGAGCGCCGCGAAAAAACGGTGACACGCGTGCAGCCGT